GCATTGGTCTGTAAGTGCATGTGTGGGACGGCCGTAGTGATGAACCATGAGCAGTGTGGCTAGGGACTCGGCCCACATGGACAGTTGCTTGTTGACCATCGGCATGTTGAGAACTCTGCGACACGTAATTATGATCAGGTAGAGAACCTGATAATATTGGTAGGATGCGTTGACATCGAGTGGATCACCGAGTCTTAGTCTTAGTGCAATGAGCGCAGTGAGGTAGGGAAGGAAGTGGTCGGTGCCGTGTTGCAAGCTAACTGGCCACATGGGTTCAGGGATGCCATAGTGTTTGGCAGCGCCGCATAGTTCTGAACTTGCACACTTGCCGAAGAGCTGCAGGAGAAACACCGTTTCCGGAGACTGGATGACCGGCATGGCTTGGCCATATGTAGCAGGCTTGAGCACCGATGTGTTAGTTGGGGTCAACTTAGAACTACACAGGCTTGCAAACCCCCGAGAACCTAGAACGAGAAAAAGAAAAAGCAAAGGAAGAAAACAGGGCAGGTTCCGGGCACACCTGAAAAGTCAGACCAGAGGGAACCACAACGTCCTAGTGAAAAAGGCATCGACCCACAGGGGAGCAGTTTGATTTGGACCGCGCGCCTAGCAGTGGGGCCTTTTGTGCCAGCCGGTTCATAGTTTGCTAACGTCCTCCATCGTGAGCGCGAGCATCGCTTCTCTCACTTGCCGTACATGTACAGTACCGTGATGAACTGTAGGAGCGCTCGTTTCGATCCCTTACTCACCAGCGAGATAGTCGCCCCCCACTTGACTGCAATGGTTTTCAACTGCTCCACCGTGTCCGATGCCAGCTCCTGCTTGACAAGGTCGAGATAAGTCGCTTGGTTGGACAGCGTGCGTTCCTGCAACCACGCTTTGAAGACTTTGTCCGTGAGACTGGTGGGAAGTGGGACCTGCTGCTTTTGGGATTGCCCTGACGTAAAAGCTCTGGATCTAGGGTGATGTCCGGGGCGGCCTCTGGAGTCTTGCGCTTGGCCGGGCGTCGTTTGGGAGCTGGATCAGCCTCCGGAGAAGGGACTGGTAGGGGGGCCCATGAGCATCCGACATCGCTTTGTTGATATAGAGGGACTGGTCAGAACGGCCACAGGTGTAGGAATCCAGGAAGTGGTATTGGAAGGAGGCGAAGATGGCTGCTTCTTGTCCGGTGTGAGAGTGATGCCTTTGCTCTTGTAGCGCTCAAGCTGATGTTCCAATTCGGCAATTTTGTGGCGGGTGAGGTTCTCCTGCTTGGCGGGCTGCAGGGACTCCATGAGGTCCACGATTCTGAGCGCGAGCGGCTCCATGAACTGCATAGCCTCATTGCGCTTGTCTGGCGCATTGTCCGGGTGAAGGGAGCGGGCTGTCCGATCGATGTCGACTTCCCTGCCTCGCAAGGCTTTAAGGATTGATGTCAATAGCACCGCCTCGGCAATTGTCTGAGCCATTACCGGTGTGCTGTATCGCCCGTTCGATAGCGCTCGGAGTGCGTGATCTTCTGCTCCTCCACGACGCGTCAGCGGAAGGTCTAGAATTGCTGTTCCTGCGAGTCCGACCCTGCGAGACCACTGAGTGGGTTGAATATGACGGTATAGTTGCAGGCCACGGACTTCCGTTTTGTCGAGAAAGATGTCATCAGATTGAAAGGTGCCGGGAAGAAGTTGCGCATAGCGAGGCTGAGTATACTGCGTTGTATCGCCTTGGCCTAGGGGTGCGCGAGGCTGAAGTTGAACTGGTGGTGCTGGTGGTGGGGGCCGAGAACCTGTCTGTATGTGGGTCGTGCCACCGCCATGATAGAACTGGCTGGGAGGCTGCGGTGGGAACTGGTAGGCCATATGTGGAGGCCGAGGAGGATTGACCCGGGGTACTGCTTCGTCTCGAGGTTGGTGCTGCATGGGTTCCATCCGGTTGGAGCTTGAGTAGGCTGCTGTCTGGGACTGCGGGACCGACCATGATGGAAGATGCGAAGACATCGGTTGCGAGGAAGGGGTTGCCGAAGTCGCCGGCCATCAGTAGGGCCACTGAGAGGCCATGAAGGGATGGTCGCTTATCTCTGGCACTGGCTGATTGATTGACCAAACGCTGGGCATGCGGCACGGGTTGACACGTTGACAAAAGGTTTTCAAACAGAGGCCGGAAACTTCCTTGACGTTAAGAAAAAGCGATCAACACACGCGGATCAACACAAGACCGAGGAAACCACGTCAAGAAGGCCAGCAAAATAAAGTCGTGCTTGCGTCAGAAGGCCCCGGCATGCACTTTTTGTCGCAAAATGCTGTCGGCGGGCGAAGACGGCAATGTGGTATTGCAATGAAACATCATTAAATGTCATCAGGTGCAGCAGTTCGCCTGATCGGGTTGCCGGTGTAGCAAGACCAGCGCATCGATAAAGCTCATGGAAAGCATGACTGCCGAAGCGGTAGATTGGTCATCTGGATCATTGCCTGATGCAGGTTCACGAGCAGAGAATACCTGTGGGTGGTTTCGCGTCGGTAGGCCATGCGAGTCCAACGATCTGGCTGGCTTCTGGAATCACCAGCCAACACTTGCCTGCAACATAGTGTATGACGTCAGGACGCTCACTGGAATCCAACGCCTCGATGCAAGCCCGTTCTCTCCCTCCACGAATCGGCTGACAGGTACCGACAGCGCGCCCGAACAGCAGTAGTTGGGCCATGTTGAAAGACATACTCCAGTTCTGAGACATCATCCGGGCTATTTCTTCAGCATCATAGTCGGGGTGTCCTGTGATCTTCCATCCTTGGGCGTAAAAGGCTGGGCACTCCGAGCTGTGTTGCCGGGAAGGATGGATCTGCCGGCTTCGCAGTATGCCTCGAGTACCACCAATACTGGAAGCGTGAGTCCAGAGCAGCATGGGTCGCGTCTTCGTTGGTTCTTTGAGCCTAACTGTGGCGCCGAGGCAGGGGACGGTCAGCATGAACCAGTGTGGAGTGATCTTGGAGTAGTGATGGTCCGAACTGACCTTTGCATAGGCCAAGGTGGAGTGCTGAGACGGTATTCCTGCTGCATTTAGGGTAGCGGCCACATAGTCCAGCTGCTCCTGATTAACCGGGATCCCGTCGCGGACGTGCTGCGAGGCAAGTACCTGAAGTTCTCTCCTCCATGGGTCTGACTGTGGGTTGGGGAGCAGGATCAGCGGTGGGTATGCCTGTGGATTCGGACGTAGTTGAGTGCTTCTCGAGGACGACTCTGTAGCTGGATAAGCACCGGTGGTCTTAGGAGCTGGAGCCGATGGAGCACTGCTTCTGCTGCGCGGAAGTGGGGACCTGTTGCTTCTCGGTCGCTGGGATGAAGCTGTAGTCGCTGAAGTCGCGGGAGTGGCGAGAGCTGCTGCTGCCGTGGATGAGCGATCCGACCGTGCGTCCCTTCGGGAGATCGGTGGTGGCGTCCTGGAGCGAGCTCGACTTCGGCGTTGTGGGGGCACTGACTTGGAGAAGGGGGAAGCTTTTTGTGGGAACGCGATCGTTCGCCATCCGTTGTGCGGCGTGGTCTTGCCGGTGGGTTGGCCGGTGGCAGCATCTGACTGGATGGATGAGATGCCGACGACATAGGTGTCGGAGTCGGTGCTTTAGTCGTGGTGGTCACTGGCTTTGGCACTGGGGTGGCCTGGTTGGGAGCCGAGGGCGTTGTAGCTGGCTGTGGAGGTGTAGGACCTGATTCTGCCGCTTGCTGAGAGACCGTGGGAGTCCGCAGGGTTGCCGTAGAGGTCGGTGCGGTAGCCGGAGTCGGACATGCTGTAGCTGGAGCCGTTGGGGTAGTTGGGGTAGTTGGGGTTGCTGGGCGCGCCTTCACCAGGATTCGCGGTAGTGGGCCAGCAGCCGATCCAGGCCGGGTGGGAGAAGCAGAAATAGGCACCGTTGCGGCACGAGGAGCAGGGGATGGCCGAAGGTTTTGCGGCCATCGAGATGCCGGACGACGTACCAGTAGTGCTGAAGGTCGGTGCCACAAGTGTACTCCTGCTCGGTGATGCTGTCTGGCTCACTGGTGATCTGGGTGGCGTAGGACCCGCTGTGTGATTGGTGGCCTTCGACACAGGGCCTGCTGAGTTCGACATCGGACCTGCGTTGGGGCGTGGCATCTGTTGCCGACAATTGCGAGCCAAGAGCAAGCTGACGGCGTCATGAGTTCTTGCCTGATGTGTCGGGTGGTCTGGTGGGTAGTCAAACAGTTTGTCTGACTGAAAGAGGTCCACGGAAACAGTCAGGGGTGCCGTAACGTCTGGGAGAAGTCCAAGCCTGTATTGAGAAGGTCAGCTGGAACAGTCAAGCGTCACGAGCGACAAGGTCCGGTAACTGTCTGTAGAAAATGTCATTGCATGAGTCGGAACAGATGCCCACAACAGGGATCAAGACACTGACCGAAGCCCGGACGCAGTGCCTAAACACACTTGATATGAGACGGCGAAACTGCCATGGTGCACCCCCGAGCAACTGGAAGGTGAAAAGTGGAGTTTCGTCAGCTTACCTTCCCGATCTGTTCGCTCACCGCGGCTACTCGTCAGTGCCCATGACTACCGCGACGAGGTACTAAGAAAGGGGGTCGGTTTGCTGGCATGGGCAGACTCCAAGCACAAAAGAACAGCGGAAACCCCTTAGAAACAGGGGGGCCACACACACATACACACGCACACCCATCGATTTAGGTTGAGAAACTGGAATGTGCACTGGAGGTCTGCAATTTGCAATCAAACGGCTTGCTGCACCCTTGATTCGTTGAGTTACAAGCCCCTCCCTGTCAAAACGCACCCGTAGCCAAATGGCCACAGGATCTATTAAAGGGCATAGGTGGTTTGGTAGTTGGTTTTAAAGGAAACCCGTCTCAACAGTTGAACATGGGGACCTCCAGGTGCTGGTGGGCGGCTGTTTGGAGCTTGCAGCCGGCAACCTATGGCTTACGGCCCTTTGATTTTGTGAGGACCCCCACCCCCTCGTTTTGGGAACGCAACCTGCTCAACCAGGACCCATCAAACCGATCCGAGCCTACGAAGGAGGGAGTCGTCCTCATGCCCTCAGCGTTCTCGATGACCTTGGGAGTACTGCCCTCCATGATGGCCACGCACGAGTTGGTGGTTCCTCGGCAGGTGAGTGAAGAGGCACCGGGGGCTCCAACCTTCCAAGCGTCCAACAAGCGAGTTACCCAACTTGTCCAACCAATCCAAGGGCACCAAACCCGAAGTGCTACGTAATTCTTTAGCACGGAATCAAGTCCCAACCGCGGCGCGTGATCCATGGGGCCCTCCGCACAGTCTGGTGCTCTGGACAAAGAGCCCAGCAATCGCCTCTCTCTAGCTGGCCCAAAGTCCACGCTAAACCACCCCAAAGCCACAAAGGAAGCCTAAGCCAACCCTGGACCCACCCTCCGATCCTCAACCAACCTCTTGAATTGCGAACATGGCCTTCCAAACAAACGCAAAGTCCTGAAACTCCGGGAGTGAGCTGTCCTTTTACACTGGCTCCATTATTTTACCGTGATCAAAGTCACCCCCTAAGTGGTGGGCCCAGAAACCGTCAAAATAATGACCCCTGTTGGCACCCAAGAACATCTTTGTGACCCGACCCTAAGCTCCCAACCCAAGTCAATGCCAATGATGTCGCCATGCATAGCCATGCGCACGGATGACCTGCGCGGTCATAGAATCACCTTTGCCTTCCAAGCCTTGGGAAATTCGAGGCACGCCCACTTGGCCGGGTACACAGAAATAGGCTTTTTCTGCTTCTGTGTCATGTTCAGTTTACCCTAAATATGCAAAATAGTCTACAAGAAGACCACATCCTAGCATGGAAACCTTTGTTGGGGGGGCCTGGATTGGCCCAGGAACTAGTTATCTACCCCCAACATGATCCAACCCCAAAAAGTGACCCAAGTCCGCAGCGGAACTCTGCGGTCGGTGGTAGATAACAAGTTCCTGGGCTTGTTGGAAGACGTCGGAGGCCAAAGCGGCCAGGCGGCCGGACCTTGACAGGGAACACCGCCAACCAATTCTTCACGCAACATCCCTGTGGCCATGGCAGAAAGGTTAAAGGGAATGAAAGGGAACACACCACAGGTCTGCGACATTGGTTCCAGTAATGTGACATGACATTGTGCTTATTGGTTCACCTTTAACAAACACATAGCAATTAAGCCTTCCCTGTAGCAGTAACTCTTTACCACCAATTTACCTCAAATTTCCCCCCAATGTCGTGGGTAATTTACCTCCAATTTTGGTGTAATTTACTCCAAATTTTGTCGGTAATTTACCCCCAATTTTGTGGGTAATTTACCCAATTTTGTGGGGTATTTACTCAAATTTTGGTTGGTTATTTACCCCCAACTTTGTGAGTAGTTTACCCCAAATTTTGTTGGTTATTTACCCCCATCTGTCGGTAATTTACCCCCAATTTTGTGGGTAATTTACCCCGAATTTTGTCGGCAATTTACCCCCCAATTTACCCCAATTTTGAGGTAATTTACCCCAAGTCTGGTAATCCCAAGTTTCCCAACGGTATACGAAGATTTACCCCCAATTTGTGGACTCATTATTCACCCCCAATTTCCAAAATTGGGGGTTAATAGGGGACAAAATTGGGGGTAAATAACCAACAAAAGTGAGGGTAAACTACCCACAAAATTGGGGGTAAATTACTCCCAACATTTCTCCCTACTCCCAATTTGCCAAATTTCCTAATATGTCCCACTTAGTTTGGCCACAATTTACCGCCAGTTTCGTGGTGAACGTTCCGCAAAATTAGGGTAACTGTTGCCGAGTCGGTAAGCCTGTACAGCCCCTCCTCGCCCGCGTAAAGAAGGCATGGAATTTATTGATAGAGGCAAGCCCCAACATGTCAAGTCCAATTGTGGCTTTTCCGCGCTGATCGGAACGAGGGTAGAATGTTGACCCTTAGTGAAAACAAAGGAAACCCAAGCCAAACCACCTTTGGGTTTATCCAGCAAAAACTTGGAACTCTTTGACCAAGCCAGCCAGGAGCTTCCCCCAGTTGGTGGCTTGGAGCCCGGTGCTTTGGTGAAACGGGGTGAAATCTCCGAACCACCAACCAAGGGTTGCCTGATAGGAACCAAGCTGCCCAATACCATGGACCCCAAGATTTTTGGATGAGCCGCACCAAAAGGCACACATGTTGGTTGCCGATGGGTATTCCCTTGCCAGACCACTTCGATAGGAAGCAATATTTTTTTACCCTCAGGCACCCAGACCGAGGGATAATCTCTAGTTCTCGAGCTCCCAGCCAAAAACATCGCTCTATGAGACTAACATATGCTCGGGATATTCTCTAGCCCTCAAGTATCCGTCAGCGTTTGGGTTCAAGCCACTTTCGCTCGGACCTGCTGTGAACTGATGCGGGTTTTATCATGACCCGAAAATCTCCGAACGGGCATGCTAAATTGTTGCTTTGCGTAGTAGCTGGGAGGCAGCAGCGTGCACAACTGGGATAATCGCAACTCGGATACTTTGGGACTCTCCGCCAACAGAATGCAACTGTGCAAACTCAAAAACATGTTTCATTTCAGAGCGTTCCCAAACCGTCTCAACGCATCCCGGGGTTCCCCATCAATGCACGTCAAACACAGAAATGCAACAGATCTCTCGAAGACTCAGTTTCGTTTTGGACGGCATTCCTGCGCTAAACCCACCAAATCATGCCTGGTCAGGCACCGCAAAGCGAGCCCTAAAACTTTCATGAAGTTCATACACACATCATGCATACATATTAGTAGTGTATATAATCATACAGATACTGCATGTATGTCTGTTTGCCTTTCTGGCCTGGTCTGGTCTGGTGGGGTTCAAAAGACGTGGGTGCCCCCAACTCTCGCCCAGCGGCGCGCTGAGGAAGCTCCGGCGCGCTTGGCGCATGGCCGGTGACAAACGGGAGGCATGGCGCAGGGCCGGGACCTAAGACGATTTCAACGGGAGCTCCTGCCGTCGGATTGGAAGGAACAGTCTGCTGCATTCTGGTCCTCATACCTCTGCTGCCATCTGCTGCACTCTGGTCAGGAACAGTCTCAAACAGTTTGGTGCTTACGTAAATATGCACAAGCTTCAATTTACAACGTGTCCAGCAGTTTGCAGAAAACTAGCTGATTGGAGGTGTGTTTTTCGTGGATGGGATTTTTGGGAATTGGCAGTGAGACTAGTCCAGACACATTACAACAGTTCACAAATTGGAAATCCCGACTCCCCGAGTAAAGGACCTTCTTGCCCGAGCTTGGTCCCAGATTTGTCCTGGAGCTTCTGCTGGGCTGCTGTTTTCTGATCCCCTGCTAAAAAATTAACTTGTGGGTTAAATGGACACCCCCACTAAACCGTAAACAGCTACAAAGCTAAGGGGGATGGCTAGGAGCCACCAAGCCTAGAACACGGTTTGGATGCGCGTCTTTTGTGGAGTCCACCTGTTCTTCCCCCTGTTGGGTATTCTTTTGGTACAATGTTCGCTCCCTGCCGTTCAAAAGCCGCATACGCCCCCAAGGCAGCGGGAGCATGCTCGCTTATTACAGCCTCCTGGCTTGCAAAGTTTGGGCGGTGAGTCCACTACCGACAAGCATTTCTCACGACTCCACAATCACTCTCTCTCTCTCTATCTCACTACTTGTTTGTTTTGTCTTCTTTTTTTGTCCGCTCTCTCTCTCTCTTTTCCTTTTCCCCCCCACCCCGGTCAGCTTCCATGTGCGCCAACAGGCTCACTTCCGAGCGCCCGGCCATCCTGGAAAGGCTCATGGCGAGTACCTGACCTGAACCTGGAAACTGATTTGAGCCAACGGGCACCGACGGGCACCGAGAGCCGCGGATTTCAAGCGCTCGGACCCGGGGCATCAGAATTCGCTTGGGGCGGGTCATGTCTCACTGAAAACAGGTGGTAACTAAAACTGTAAATCTCAACAAAAATCATAGCCACATGAAATCTCCAAAGCGGAAATTGCTTTAGTTCAATGTGGCAAAAGACCCCGCCTTCATGGATTTATTTGTTGGTCCCCGCCTGCCTTCAAGATCACTCTGTGGCCCACATATATGGATTTCAAGTCAAGATACCGTTCTTGGCTTGCCATTTTGTGGCCCTGAAAAGCGATAACGGATTTGGCAACAATGCCATGATTTTGCTTCGACATAAACACCGTTGCATCCTGCTTGCCTCGCAGCGTTGCCATTGATGCAGGAGATCATTCCCACCCCACCCCATTCCATCAAAGGGAGAAAGTGGTCATGCGAGTGACATCAACATGACCCAGTAGAAGCCATGATTCGTCGAATCAGCGCAACCTCTGAGAAAGTGACCATGTGCGGCCATGATCCTCAAATCAGCAGGAATACACGTTCGCCCCGCTGCTGGCATAAACATGACACAGCGTGAAAAAAGTGGGAACAGGCATTTCATATTCGAACAAATAATGTGTTTGTAAGCACACCTCAGGAGCAAAAATAAATACGGGAACCAAAGGCAAACGTTCCGCGAAAGGAGATTCCACAAAACAAAAGAGGCCCAGCTAATTCTCCCCAACAGCCCCCGAAGCCCCTGGAACCCTCCTAGTAACCCTACCTCAGAGCCGCCCGCTTACTCGTGTACTCGTCATGGTGACCATAGCGTTCAATGTTTGACTAGCATATGGTCATGTAACTGGATGCTTCTGAAAAATGGTGACACATCCCTTCCAGGTGCTTCGGGCCTCGTTTTGTCTGGCCTTTCAAACAGCTTCCTAAAACAAGTCCTGGGCAAATACAATTCCAAGGGTAGTTTGCCGGTTCAACCCATCCAAAAAAAAACCAAGGCCTGGGTCTGTTCACATATTCAAACCACTCACCAAACACCTACGGGCGCCCCTTGAAACGGCAAAACAAAACAAAGGGCCCAAACCAAACAGGGGAGAAACAAAAAACAACAACGGTGATCCCTGGTTCTAAAAATCCGATGGGAGCCGAAGCAATCGACTGGCCGTCTCCTTGCCAAGATGGCCACCTCTGCCGGAGCCATTGCGCCACCTCGGATTCGACACCCAACATGAGCTCTGGGTTGGCGGCTTGGTTGCATGCCTGGAGAAAAAAAAGGCAAGAACAGTTAAGCTGAATCCTAGCCAACTTGCCCCAAATGGACATTGGCCTCCAAAGGGCTCAGTTTTCCCACATGTATAATTTGGGTGTATGCCCATTTGCGGGTTGATCAAAGGGTCCTTTACATGGGATGACCATCAGGGAAGTATCAAAAACAGATGACTTCCACCAGGGGAAAAGTTGCCCCATGGTCTTTTTGGGGTGAAACTTGATCAACCGATCATTTCGGGTACGGGGATTTTGGCCCATGCGGCTCGGCCTGGTTGGCAGCAGTCTGCCAGCCAGGTGCAGACCTCTGAGCCCTGGTGCCTGGCATCCGACCAAACATATGCCCCGTTGCGGGGGTTGGCTCGTGAAAACGAAGGAGCTCCAGATTTACAAGATGACCAGACCTTTGGGCAGAGTTGTTGGGTAATTTCGCCTTCGGTTTTCTTGCTTGTCCATTCTGTGGGTATGGGTCAAGATAGGGATTTGGACACCCCCAGAAGGTGGTTTTGAGATGTATCTTTCCAGCAACTCTGGTGTAGCCGCTTTTGCTTGCTTTTTTTAGAGGGGTCAGTTGGCTTGGGGCCGGGGGAAGGTTCCAGGGGATGGAACGCTAAAACAGGAGAAAAACACATTCCAATTGGAGGGGGAGATTCATATCCTGAAAGACACACCCAACTTTGAGCGGTTGTCCCTTGAGTTGGTACACGTTGGGTTGTTTTGAAGAGAAAAAGGGAAACCCCCCATCAAGGACGCCCAAGAGGGTAAAAGGGTCAAACAGGATAGGTATGTCTGGCAGCTCAAGCCAGCCTAAGTCCCCTTCAAGGGCTCATGCAAAGCTGGATGGTTGAACCACAAGTTTCAAAGCGCTTTCAAAGCTTTTTTGGGATGAGAGCCGATACTGAATCATTGTGGCCATGTCCGAAATCGGCGTTCTTCATGCCATGAGTAACAAGGGCTTGAACGCTCTCGGATCTCTATTAATCTCTATTCATTGTATATCGTCGTCGCTCAGCAGCCGGTTCTCGCTCGATGCACAACAAAGACTTCAAGCATATTTGCTACGGACAATATTGTACCTACAGTTGGTTCAATTGACTATTTTTTGTGAGGAAACAAAGGGAATTGGGTAGGCTCCCAACTCCATATCCTCCCAAAAAACAAACAAACAAACAATAAACTACCAGTACTATTGTCCTGTGCTTTTTTATATCTGACTGACAACATCCTGGATCTCCATGACGGTCGCTCAGTAGCTCCAGCACAAGTCTGCCCCGACGCAAAATCATGAATGACTTGCCTCTTTGGAGCTCGCCGTCATAGTCTCTAAATGCGGGAGAAAACACCCCAAACAAAACCCTCGAACAATCCGCATCCATTTCTTGTTCGCTGGCAATGCACCTTTCGAGAAAAAAGACAACACACAACCGGGGGTTTCTCAAATAGGGTGTCCCCTATGGTTGGTTTCCTTTGGGGGTCCCTTCCAAATACCCAGGTTTGAGAGTCCGAAAACCATTTTTCAGAAATTAAATTCCTGACTAAAGCTACTTCCTCGGTCATGGCTACCAATCCTCAACTGGCTGGCAAGCATGGCTGTCCCAAAAGGCGAGCAACACTGTCCGAGACAGCACACCGGTGCAATTTTTCAGGGGGCCCCCAAGCATGGATTACCCTCAAAAACCACACACCCACATGGGGACTGACAAAAAAGTGATCGATCCCCTCCCTCAAAGGCCTTGTGAGAACCCCTCAAGGTCAAACCCTTGAAGCTGAACACATCCCGGAAAAAGCGTGTTGCCCTCCTTTTGCGACCCCCTCAATGCAGGACTCTTCTAGCGTCCAACTTGTGCACCCATCAAAAGTCAAGCCTTCCCGCCCTCCGGCACCGGGTCATATTCCCCACCCAAACAGGCGGGGAAGAGGGCGCAACCATCTGGCCATGAAACTGCAAATCTTTGCAATCTGCGATCCTTCCACACACTGAACCACATGCCTAACCTCACTCCATATACCGCTAAGAGGGGCCATGGCCTCACCAGTGTGGCCAGAGACCGCAGCGCGCCACTGCGGAACCTTGTTTTTCCGAAATCCGCGAGTCAAACCAACTCAATGGCCAGACCGATCCGATCCTCTCTTCCGATCGAGTGGATTGGCCAAGAAAAAGTAAGCGAGCTGTTGTTTTTACCACTAAAATGGTCTTACCAAAAAGTTCAAAGTCCAGGAACTCAAGAGGGAACATGTTGGCCACCCAAAAGGGTTAACGATCCTCATTTTGTCATCCCGCGCCGTTGACGCCAGGATCAGCGGGCTGGGGTGTTCAATCCGTAATCCAAAGTAGGACACCGGAGACCACCATGCGGCATTGAGGATCAGCCCAGCGACACTGGTAGAACAAGGGAACCCTTTTTGGGGTGGATTCCCTTTCAAACCGTGTCGCAAGCCGAAACGCCCGGAATCCATTGAACGGATTCGTTTGCTCAGCGTTTGATTCGTGAGCCAAGAACTCCAAGTGCGGCATGGAATGCGCGTTGGCTGTCCCAGCCCTTCGATACACAAGCTTGTCACATGAGGTGCCTGGGACTCAAGGCATTGAAGTTGAAGCTCCAATCAACATGTGTCAAAATAGCATACGGAACCCCCAAGATGGGTGTCATCTTGGTTTCCCTGTAAAGCAACCCAAGGAGAGCACCCTCAAAAAGAAGGACGCATCTACATGAGACCAGGACAAAATTACATGTTTGGAAAATCTTGATGGGCCCCACAACTTTTTAATGGGAACTCGTTTTCTGCCCGAAACCAGTAGTAGACCATCAATAGTATTGTCAGTGACTCAGGTTTTGGGCATGTGTCCAACAAGGACCCCAAAACAGTGGGCTTCGCCGCTTCGCCCAGACCTGAGACAAGTCGCCTCTGATGCCCGAAGCCAAGGTGCCACGCCGAATCCCCAAGGGCCTCCGCCTGAGATAGATGGAACCCAAATGGGAGTGGGTCAAGCCCCAATTGGAGGTTTCTGAAAGTGGAGTTGGGACCCCTTTTGGTTGGTATTTGAGGGGAACAGCATTTTAGGACCACTATATGGAGAAACACCAAGTTCTAATTGGTCAAGCGGAAATTATGCTCGTCCAAGTCCGTGGGCAAAATTATGCACCAGTCCCAGTATGTGTAGGGCTTCACGCATCGGTGCGGGATTTTGGACAGTAAAATTCAGGTCGAAATGATTGCACACATTATCCCATGGTCATGGCTTAACAACTTCTATAAGAATATCCCTCCTTACTCACAGTGGACAGAACAATGTTGCAAATGCAAATTGTGCTTCGCATGTCAGAATCAGAAGTTTTGCCCACTAGATATTTTTCTCAGCCACAGTACGCTGTTTTATAATGCTGGCCCAAATATGGGGCACACACAAAGAAAAAACCGTCCAGCCAGTCTGCCCTGAAATAATCAAAAAGTTGGAGACCCCAGTAAAGGGCGCATCTCTCTCAACAAGGAAACCCCCACTCCAAACGCCCACTGTTTTACGTCTGTATATATATATACATACATGTATATGTTTCAAAGAACCCGGTGTTCCATTGTAAATATATTTTTTTAGTCACTGGTTGACATCATACTCTCCAAAACGAGTTGCTTCGCAAAAGCATTGAACAGCGTCGAGGGACACTGTGAGAAGGGCCATACCATGTCGTACCGGGGACACGGTGACAACACAGGATGGCCAAGTCTTGTGCCCTGGTTAAACGTTCCTGTGGACGCACGAAACCCACTTCGCGCACCAGCTGCGATGGATGTTCCCTATGGACACTGGGATAAGCCACCTACCAGCTGGTGCAGATCAAACGTACACCGACTTGCTTTGATTTGGGATGCCCGATCCGAGGGTGCAGTCGGGCTTCGCCGTTTAAGCCTATCAAAGCCGGATTGTGGGAATTTAAAACTTTGTGAGTCCCCCGTTTTTCATAGGACTTTTTGGTGAGCCCATGTTCCTTCCAAATGCACCATATACTGGAAACGTTGATTTAAACTTCAGAGATTCATAGCCTATGCTCTGAGTGGAAACGCGGCGGAATCTCCCAAACCCTATGGTATTGAAGGAACATCGACAAACCGCATCCGCTTTCGGAGGTTCCGGAGACAAACCCAACGTCCCAAGCAAACCCCCGCGCCTGACAGGCCACCAGCCAGTCCTCGCAGTGCAGGCGCAGCAGCCGCTCGGCGTCGCCTAGCCCAACGTTCAAAAAGGTGTCCTGCTTGAACTCTGAAGAATCAAACTTGTGATATGTTACAAACAAAAATACGTTGTTGCAATAAAAGACATGGCAACACCAGTGGGTGATACGAGGCCCGAAATAATTCGAGTAGGGTTTTGGGGGTACCGTAGAACAACATTGAGCCATAACCATAACATGATTCCAATGTAGTTGCGTGGCCCCTCGTGTTGCATCCACTTGCCCCATCCTGGGATGGCGCAGGGAGGTGGTCACTTGCAGCTAGGCGGCCGCTAAGGCAGGCAACGATGCGAACCTCGGAGGCGGGGTGAAGCGACCAGGCGCAATGACTTCTGTCGCGAAAAGCAGGTAATTACGGTCGATCTGGGGTGGTTGCCTGCATTTCTTGGCTGCCCACCAAACAAAACCCGCGTTTGTCTCAATGGGGAAACCAACAACAAAGTGGATTGCCGCAGCCTTTCCGGGCTCTATACACTAAATCCTGCGTTGATCCGAAGAGAATGATGAGTTTGTTGTTCATTTCAAGAGCCTTCCCTTGGTAGCCGACAAAACACATATTCAAACCCATGCTGAAGAGCGCAGGCTTGATTTCTCCTGCGAGGCGTGGGTGGCTCAGTAGAGGTGCGGCAAAACCATGTGCTGGCAAAAAGCCTGGCACTCAAGGTATCAATCCAGAAGGGTGCAATCCTTTCCGGCTGGCTCAAACCAATCCAGCCAATGAAACTGCGACTTTGGGTTCCAGCCAAAACAAAATGAAGACACCCTGCAAGGAATTGCAGCAAGCACGGAGGCTCCACAGACCCTGGCACAAGGGTAGAAAATGAGTATCTGTAGAGAACACAGGCACCCCCTGTGAGTGTGTTGGTCAGCTAGATAATAAATATATATATATATATATTATATCATATGTACACGTATGGTTCAAACTGATTTCGAGCATCAAGCCTAGCAATAGCTTGCCATAAGAAGAGTTCAGGAGAACCCTTCAGGCCCAATCTTGACCACGTGCGTCATCGACCATATTACCACCGGAACCCCTTCGAACTACCCAAAACTAGCGCCTATCAGCCTGCAAAGGTGATAGGGAGTCGCCCGAAAACCACAAACCCCAGTCATACTGCGGATGTGCGAAATCCATTTCGCGCCACCCAAGAAACCCTGGAAGAATTCGACTACCTCCAGAAATACCAACCAACAGCGGGTTTCAACCATGGTTTCAAAGTAGTGAGAACGGACCTCTGCAACATCCACAGTATCTGATGCCAGGGCCCGCGCAGCCAGTGGCCAAGACCGACAGCCCAGGGCCCAGGGGATGGCCAGAAATGAAGCCCCCGCCTGCGCTCGAGAAGCTTCCCTTTTTTCAGGGCCTTTGTCGCGGTTTTAAAGGAACACCAGAAGAGAAACACCATTTCGGAGGGTCCCCTTACAAAAACAACAAATGAGCCTTGGCGATACACACACACACACCTGAAATAAGTAGAACTTTGAAGGAGCATTCATGGATAGGCTCTTTTCGCCCAGCTCATCATTTGCCCGAAATGCTCACACGTTTGCTTTGGGTAATTACCCTTTTCAGGCGGGTGTTGAGGAAACTTCAAACGCAAACCGCCATTTTGGTCGGCAAATCCATTTTGACCCCGACCCAGGCCGCGCCCCATGTCCGCCACGTCTCCCACGTCTCCCCCCGGCAGCGCGCCTCTTGGCTCTCCGCCGCCACAAAGAGCTGCAGGCGTCGCGCCCGCGCCTCTTGCTCCGGCGTCCTCCAAGAGGCAACAATCCTATGAGTCCGCAGAGCACACGCTGGAATTCCAGTCAGAAAATTCAAGGGGTGGGTCCAAGTAGACCAACATCTGAGAGTTGCGGATCTTACAAAAGGAATCCCGAAGTGGCCTGGGATAGCGACTCAACCTGAATCCATGAGCTCAGAGAGCTGAAGGCCACCAGCTTCGATTGGTTAGAGACATGCTTGAGGGGAACGCCATGCCGATACAAGGAATACCCTCCCACTTGACACGGGACCTGACAGGGGGGTCCTGGTTTGGACCATTCTCCACGTGAACAGCCCCCAGGCGGCCCCAAGCCGATCAACCCCGACAAAGGCTCCAACTTGTTCTATTGGAGTCACTCGGCATTTGGGAAATGATGGCCCGGAAGGGGGTGTCTCTGCTAGGGATGGTCTCATGACCTCTGGAGTGACTGATATATCTTCAAGACAAAACCACCTAAAGTACCCGCAAAAAGAAACACTCGAACTAAATGTGGATTGAGCATGTCTACCAGTCCTCACCACCTTTGGAACGAACACAAGAAACGGGTTGTTCGTCAAATTGGGGAACTGCGTGCGTTCCCTTTGATTTCCCGGCATTGGATTCCCTTGGTTCCGGTTGGTTTCCTCTGTTCCCAAAAACAAAGCGAAGGAACCCATTGGTTGCAAAATAAAATCCCAGTCCGTAAGGTTGCTATTGAGGGAACCTCTCGAAATCACAGGCTTTCATAAACGGTTTCCCTTCAAAACAGCAGAGGCACGCACACATGTCGGACCTGGTAGCTCAGAGCGAACTCCCAGAGAGGAAGCACGCAGTCGATTGTTCGCCTTTTTGTTATAGGCATAGTTGTTTTCGTGGGAAATCAGATTCAATGTGCGTGTGTGTGTGTGTGTGTGCTAAGTCTATTCAAAGGCTCTGGGCACCCTGGCTGCGACTGTGGCCATTTGCTTTGCATCCATGTTGGGAATCAGCCATCTCGAGTCTCAATGTGAGTGCGCGCGCGAGTTGGAATTGGTAACATAGGTGTTCCGCCAAGGCTAGGTCTACGTAATGTTTGCACCTTTGGCACAATGACCAAAACATGAAACAGTGGATGCCTGCATTCGAATGGTTTGTGCTTTCAGACTACGGTGCTCAACGTCATGAAGTCTGTTATAATCAGCTGCCTTCCAAATTTCCCCGCTACCCTCTACAACAAGTAGGGCTCAGATCCCCAGTTGCCAATCCAAACCACCAATTCAGGGATACCTGTTTAAACACCTTTCACACTGATGCCCACAAACAGGAGGGAGACTAAAGGCCGGGGTCGCCTTGGAAAGGAGCACCGTTGCTTGGCAATCTGATTTGACCCCTCCAACAAAAAACACTGAAAAAAGGACGCCCCCACTGGGTAGCGGATTTCTAAATGGACCTTGCAACGAAAAGAAAACGGGGAAGACGGGGAAATCCGCACCGCGCCGCGGAGTTGTTTATCGTCGCGAGTGCGCCTAGTCTCGTGAAGCGCTGCGGAGGTCACGCTGCAGTAGCCGAAAAAGTCGTGGAGCACCTTCGAGGCGCTAATTCAATCCACGGACCAAAAGGATCGTATGTGTCTCTTTGAGCGCTTGCGTGTTTGTGTTTGTTTGTATTGTTTTGTGTGTTTGTGTTTGTGCTTGATGCTTGTGTGTGTGTGCGGGTGTGTTTGTTTACTTGTTTGCTTGTGTTTCGAGGATATCCCTTGTTACACCTTGGTTTCAAAGGACACCCAAAGGAAAACAGATCATTTTGTTTGAGTCCCTCTATTTTGATACATAGCCATCCCAACACCCATGCCCAGCAAATGGGGGTTCCAATTTCAAGACACGGCCTCCTGGACCCTGGCGCCCTACGTTTTGACAACGCCGCCATATGAACCCGTAAAATGACCCTTTGGTTGTCCTTCAAACAGGGATAACCTCGAAAAAAAGACATGCCCATGATCCAATTACCACAATTGACACACCTCAAACAAGGAATGCCCAGGGAAATCCGTATCACGGAGGTCGCACACCCTTTTGTGAGGTTTCTATCATTTCCATAAAAAGAAGGCGCGAAAGAAACG